ACATGTGGAGAGAGGAGCATGGGCTGGAGCAGGGTCCTGGCAGGACATGTGGAGAGAGGAGCATGGGCTGGAGCAGGGTCCTGGCAGGACATGTGAGAGAGGAGCCTGGGCTGGAGCAGGGTCCTGGCAGGACATGTGAGAGAAGAGCCTGGGCTGGAGCAGGTCCTGGCAGGACATGTGGAGAGAGGAGCATGGGCTGGAGGTGCCTGTTCCTGAAGGACTGACCCTGTGGAAGGGACCCGGGTTGGGGCTGCCTGTTCCTGAAGGACTGACCCTATGGAAGGGACCCGGATTGGGGCTGCCTGTTCCTGAAGGACTGACCCTATGGAAGGGACCCAGGCTGGGGCAGCCCATGAAGAACTGGCTGGAGATGTTCCTGGAAGGCTTCTGGCGTGGGAGGAACCCCGCGCTGGAGCAGGGGCGGAGTGTGAGGCATCCTGCTCTTGAGGAAGAAGGAGCAGAGCCAGCAGCCCCCATTCCCCATCCCGCTGTCGGGAGGGAGGCGAAAGACGCCGGGAACGATTGCGATCCGGGGACGAAGAGCGGAGCGGAGCGACGGCTCTGGCACATTTCCTTTCAACCCCTCATCGTCCCGCGGTGAGTTGATGGGTGACAAAGCGCACTAATTCCCGGCTCCAGCCCGTTCAATCCCCGCCGCCGTTYGCCGAGCGACCCCTCCGGGGCCCCGGCGGCGCTCAGGGCGCAGCCGCAACGGCATCACGTGGGGAGCGGGGCCGGGGCTGCTCGGGATCGCTCCGGATCCTCCGGGAACGGAGCCGCTTCTTGCTCCTCCGGGAACGGCTCCGGTTCGTGCTCCTCCGGGCAGGGAGCCGCTTCTTGCTCCTCCGGGCAGGGATCCGGTTCTTGCTTCTCCGGGAACGGCTCCGCTTCTGAATCCTCCGGGCTTGGCTCCGGTTCTTGCTCCTCCGGGAGCGGATCCGGTTCTTGCTCCTCCGGGCACGGAACCGCTGCGGCTCCGCTTCTGAGTCCTCCGGGCTCGGCTCCTGCTCCGGCTCCTCCGGGCACGGCTCCCGCTCCCACTGCGGCTCCTCCGGCTTTCTCCGCGGTTTCTGGTCCGGGCCCGGCTCCTGCTCCGGCTCCTCCGGGCACAGCTCCCGCTCCCATTGCCTCTCCTCCGGCTTTCTCCGCGGTTTCTCGTCCGGGCCCGGCTCCGGCTCGTCCCCCGGGCATGGGGGTGGCGGGCGCTCCTCCGCCGTGAGCAGCAGCGGCAGCACCGGCGGGACCCAGCGATGTTGCGGGGGTAGGTGACGGGGGAGGAGCGGCGTTTTGTGTGTCTCCATAGGATCCTGGAATGGTTTGTGTTGGAAAGGGGTCTTAAAGTTCGTGTTGTCCTGTCCACGGGCAGGGATATCTCCGGCTAGACCGGGTTGCTCCAAACTCGGACATTTCCAGGGATGGGGCAGCCACAGCTCCTCGGGGGAATCCGTTCCACCACCCTCCCTGGGAAGAAGTTCTGTGGAAGCTATGGGAGGAGATGGAATAAGGAGGCAGCAGCATCCCCACATATGGCACACGGCGTTTCGCTGCCGAGACAAAAAGAAGAAACCGATGTGTGTCCTGCTATAATAACAATGTAATAAACCACCATCAGATGCTTTCCCAAAGCTTTTGAGGGATGATGAGCAGCTTTGGACTGATGCCAGCCCGCGGTGRTGCAGGTCAGGCATCTCTCCTGGTGGGGATGGAGAAGTCAGGCTCTGCTCCCAAACCCGAGGGTGAGAGTTTAACCTGGAGAGAGCCACGGGCTGCTCGTACGGGAAACAACCCCGTCGGATCAGCACGGCAGGAAACATGTGGGGCCCGCTGGAAAAAGTGCAGATCCTGCACATTTTTTTGCTTTTTCTACAGAAACCAGCTTTAGAAGGTTGTGGGGTGTTGGGATTTTTTTTTTTTTTTTTTTTTTTTTTTTTTTTTTTTTTTTTTTTTTTTTTTTTTTTTTTTTTTTTTTTTTGTGAAGGTTTGCATTTCTTTGTGTCAGGATGTGACTTTTAGGATATGATGCATTTTTCCTGGAAAGACAGCTACACCAGTCAGCAAGAGAGAAGAGTGTTTGTAGTGGTCCTTTGGTCTCTGGGGTTGGATTTCAGAGCCCCACTTGGACACTGAGCAGAATCCAGCACAGCCAAGGCTTCCACAGGGATTCTGTTTGCACAGCGTGGAGAATGAGCTATTCCATCATAGATGCTTTTCCAGGATATGTTTTTGGCATTACAGWGTGTGGGTGGGACTGTTTAATTCCTTCATGTCCTCCAGTTTTCTTCTGTGGTGTGTGGAAATACACTGAAATATCTGTCTCCCGAGGCAACTTTCATCTGAGAATTTGGGAGTCATAAAATAACATTTTTTCTCTTCCTGTGGGTTGGATTGGGTGCATTGTATCAGTAGACTGGTGAAATGTCCCTTTTCCCTTCTTCTTGTTTTATTTATTCTTTTATCCTTCTTTGCTCCTTTCTGGTGTGATTTCTTCCAGAGGTTCAGACAGTTCTTCACACATTTTTCTGTGGTAACTGAGCTAATTTAGCTGCCTCTGTCTCCCAAGGCAACTTTCATCTGAGAATTTRCAAGTCATAAAATGACAACTTTTTTTCCTTCCTGTGGGTTGGACTTGGGGCATTAGCATCAGTAGGCTGGTGAAACATCCCTTTTCATTGCTTCTTCTTTTATTTATCAGTTTTATCCTCTGTTCTCTGATTTCCTTGCTCTTTTCTGGTGTGATTTCATCCAAGGGTTCTCCAATGTGGTGGTGGGCAAGGAGCAGTGGTGAGGAGGAGTGTGGGAGGAGGTGCACAAAGAGAAGGGCTCAGCCCGGGCTTGTGAGCCAGAGATAAGCAGCAGCAGGTTAATCTGCAGGGCAGKGTCTGTGTCTGGGCAGGAGAGAAAACTTCCACGTGGGGATGGATACACTCCCCCTGCCTTCAGATGGAGGTGATTCCATGGGGAGAATTCAGTGAGGAAGGGGATTAATGCAAACAGGATAAATGCAAACAGTGACTGAGTGACTCTTCTGGTTTCTTCTTTCTAGGACACCTCTGCTTGCTGGTCACTGAAACTGAAAAATRAGGCTTTGACTCAGCTCGGGGAAAACACACTGATTCAGACAGCTCTGTGGAGGATTTCGGTGGGAAATGAGTGGAAAATAGGTTAAAATAGGTTTAAAATAGGGTGACAAAGAATAGAGATAAAATAGATCTTTTCCCTCTGAAGCAGGTGCAGAGAGTAGAGAAAGGCTGGATTGGCAACAGAGAGGATGGGATCTGTACATTAGGAATGGGAAAGCTGTATTCCTTTTTTTGCTGCTTCAGTAAGGACATCTGACCTTTGGTCTCCTGGTGTATCCCAGAATCCTAAAAAGCCACCCTCAGGGTGTTTCTCTCAGACAGCAGGTGACATTGGGATCCCTGGGGGAGCTGTCCTTAGTTCTCCTGCYTTATCCTGAGTTAATAAGGACACCATGCCAAAAGGGTGCCAAAGGCACTTCCATAGGCAGGGCAAAGGAACTGGTGCYGCTGTTGCTGCCCAAATTCTGCSTCATCACCCTCTCTGCCTCATTYCCAGTGCCTGGAGCTGGGRCTGTGAGTGTTGGGGGAAGGCTCTGGTTCACCCCACCATTCATTTTCCCTGTCCCTTACCCCCCCAGCCAGGTCAGTTTGGAGGAGGAGAGCCAGAACCCACCCGCTGTGGGACACTGGAARGCCCTGATGCCATCCAAAGGTGACAAGGAGGAGGCAGAGAGTGGATGCCAGGATGCTGGAGGYGTGGGTGAGCCCCAGTCCACAGAGCAGCTCAACGTGTCCCGGCTGCGCAGCTCCTCGGTGGAGATCCGGGAAAAGGGCTCCGAGTTCCTCAGAGATGAGCTACACAAGGCACAGAAGGTAAAGCCCAGGGTTTGTGGGAGCTCCTGGGGATGGCAGCACKGATTGGAGAATGGGGGAGTTTTCCTAGAGGTGGTCTGGGAGTCTGGAGCAGGCAGAGGAAGAGAGAGATGGAGCTGAGGTGCTTTGGAGCAGGACAGCATCCAGGAAGTCCTGGAAACTTGCTGCAGGAAGCAGCTTGAGGCAGTGCCTCCTTGCTGATGACAAATGAGCAATTCCAGCCTGAAAATCCTGCTGCAGCTTTGGGAGAGGTGCCTTTGGTGACATGGAGTTTAGTGACAGGAATCCTGGGTCAGGGATCTGTGCTGTGGTGGGGAGGAAGGGCTGGGATTGACAGGCTGGGGCTGGGCATCAGCACTCCTGTCCCTCTCCATTTCCTCAACAGGAGCTGAAGCTCAAGGACAAAGAATGTGAGAGATTGTCCAAAGTCAGGGAGCAGCTGGAGCAGGAGCTGGAGGAGTTAACAGCCAGCCTGTTCGAGGTACCACCCTCTTCCTTTTCCCTTCATTTCTTAAGCCAAGCTCACATCCAGCTCCTTTAAGACAGCTTTCCCTGGATTTCCAGCGTCTCCTCCCACAGCTTCCTCCTCTCCCCTGTTGTTCTTTCCCGCTTGGAGAAGCAGAGCTGGGCAGTGCTGCAGAGCTGGGCTCCTGGGCAGCCTTTATCTGGATTTCTTTGCCCTTCTAGCAGCTGTGGGGTGGCATAAAGAGCACAGGAGTTATGGTGGCAGAGTCTGGGAATGCCAGGAGCTGGAGCCAAGCTCCCAGTCCCTCTCCCTGTCCCTCTCCCWGTCCCTCTCYCTGTCCCTCTCCGTTCCTGCTCTATAGTCTGGGCAGCTGCTGTGTAATAGAGATGATTCCCTGGCTCATCCCATCCCCTGCTGGGGGTGGGAACATGCTGGATATCCTCATCCCTCTGCTCCAGTGAGTGTCCAGAAGGCCTGTTGGTTGTTGCTTTTGTTTTGTGTTTTTTTGTTTTTTTTTTTTTT